ATGGACACTTAGGCGAAAGAGAGAGAATCTTAAGCAGGCTCCTGATTCTTGCTTTTACTGTTTCTTTTGTTTGTAGAACTTCCTTTAGCCATCACTTTAGGGTAGGTGTGCTAGTGACAATTCTCTTAATTTTCCTTCATTTGAGAATATGCTGATTTTACCTTCAATTCTAAGGGATATTTTTACTGACATAGGATTCTTAATTAACAGTTCTTTTCTTTCATCAATCACTTGATAAACTTCATGCCACTTGCAAATGATTTTCATGGTTTCTGATAAGAAAGCCAAGGTCATTTGAGTTGTTTCTCTATATGTGATATGCTGTTTCTATCTAGCTGCTTTCAAAACATTTTCTTTGTCTTTAGATTTTTGAAGCTTGATTACATTGTGTCTGGACTTGAATTTCTGTGGGTTTACCCTTAGGGGGTTATATAGCTAATTTTGATGAAATTCAAGTTATCTATTTTTCTTTTGTTGCCTGTGCTTTTAATGTCACATACATGATATTGTTGCCAAATCCAATGTCATTAAGACTTTCTTCAATGTTTTCTTCTAAGAGTTTTATAGTTTTACATCTTGTTTAGGTCTTTGATACACTTTAATTTTTGTATGTGGTGTAATTTCATTCTTTTGCATGTGATATCCAGTTTTCCCAGCACCACTTGTTGAAATGGTGTCCTTTCTTAAAGCCTTTGTCTTGGCATCCTTCTGGAAAATCAATTAACTATATACGTGAGGGTTTATTTCTGGACTCTCCATTCTATCCCATTAGTTTATATGTCTGTCCTTAAACTAGTACCACAATGTGTTTTTGTTGCTGTTGTTGTTGTTGTTTTACTGTAGTTTTGTAGTTTTTCAAAGTCTGAGTGGATCCTCCAACTTTGTTCTTTTTCAAGATTGTTTTGGCTATTTGGGGCCCCCCTTCAATACCATATGAATTTGAGGATCAGCTTTTCCATTTCTGTGAAAAATACTATCGGAATCTATAGATCATGTTGTGTTGAATCTATAGATCACTCTGTGTAGTATTGACTTCTTAACAATGTTATGCCTTCCTCTCCATGAACATGGAATATCTTTCCATCTTAATTTATGTAAATTTAATTTCTTTCAGCAAAGTTTTGTATTTACAGTAGACAAGTCTTTCACCAACTTTGCTAGATTTTTTTCCCCTGAGTATTTAATTCTTTTAGATGCTATTGTAAATGGAACTGTGTTCTTAATTTCCTTTTTGGATTGTTCACTGCTGGTTCATAGAAGCACAGTTGATTTTTGTGTTGATCTTGTACCTTGTAGCTTTGCTGAATTTATGAATGCTAGTAGTTCTCTTGAAGATTCTTTGGGATTTTTCTATATATAGGATCATGTTATCTGCAAATAGAGACTTTGCTCTCCTTTTCCAATTTGGCTTTTATTTTTTTCTTACCTAATAGCTCTGGCAAGAACTTCCAGCACACTGTTGAAAAGCAGTAGTGAAAGTGGGTCTCCTTATCTTCTGCCTTCTGATTTTAAAGGGAACTCTTCAGTCTTTCACCATTGAGTATGATATTAGCTATGGGTTTTTCATAAATAACCTTTATCATATTGAGGAACTTTCCCTCTATTTTTAGTTTTCTAAAATATTTTATCATAAAAGGATGTTGAATTTTTCAATGCATTTTCTGCATTGGTTGAGATGATCATGTAGGTTTTTTTCTTTCATTCTATTAATATGTTGTATTGATGTTATGTTCAACCATCCTTATATTTCTGATATATACCCCACTTGGTTATGGTGAATCATCTTTTTAATATGCTATTGGATTTGATCTGCTAATATTTTGTTTTGAGGATTTTTGCATCTATATTCATAAAGGATACTTGCCTGAAATTTTCTTCTATGTGATGTTCTTACCATGGTACTACTGGCTTCCCAGAATAAGTTATAAAGTGTTTCTTCTTAAATTTTTTGTAAAGGTTTGAGCATTGGTATTAATTCTTCTTTAAATTTTTGGTAAAGGGGTGGCTGGCTTCCTCAGTTTGAGGAGCAACTTGATCTCGGGGTTGTGGATTTGAGCCCCACATTGGACATAGAGATTACTAAAAAAAAAAAGCTTAAAAAAATAATAAATGTTTGGTGGAATTCACCAGTGAAACCATCTGGTTTAGGGCTTCTTTTTGTTGGGAGGCTTTTAATTAGTGATTTAAGCTCTTGTTACTTATTTACTGTTGAGATTTTCTATTTCTACTTGAGTTAGTTTAGGTAGTTTGTATTTCAGGGAATTTGCCCATTTCCTCTAGGTTATCTAATTTGTTCATTTTGTTCATGTACATTATTGATAGTGTTGGCATACAATTATCAAAAATGTTCTTTTATAATCCTTTCTATCTCTGTAAGGTCAGCAGTTATGTCTCCACTTCCATTTTGATTTTCATTATTTGTATCTTCTTTCCTTTTTTTTTATTAGTGAATCTAACTAAAGTTTTGTCAATTTTGTTGAACTTTTCAAATAACCACTTTTGGTTTCACTGATTTTCTCTATTCTCTATTTCATTTATCTCTGCTCTAATCTTTTTTTTGGGGGGGTCTTATTTATTATTTTTATTTTTATTTTTTTACAAATAGTTTATTGTCACATTAGTTTCCACATAACACCCAGTGCTCATCCCCACAAGTGCCCTCCTCCATGCCCATCCCCCCTCCCCCCTACATCCATCAGTCCTCAGTTTTTGTCAGCATTCAAGAGTCTCTCATGGTTTGCCTCTCTCCCTTTCCCCCACCATTTCCCCCCTTCTTCTCCCCCTTGTTCCTCAGTTAAGTTCCTCCTAATCCTCCTATACGTGCAAACATATGATATTTGTCCTTCTCTGCCTGACTTATTTCGCTCAGCAGAACACCCTCAAGGTCCATCCATGTTGCTACACATGGCCAGATTTCATTCTTTCTCATTGCCATGTAGTATTCCATGGTATAGATAAACCACATCTTCTTGATCCATTCGTCCATTGATGGACGCTTAGGCTCTTTCCATGTTTTAGCTATTGTGGAGAGTGCTGCTATGAACATTGGGGTACATGTGCTCCTATGCCTCAGCATTTCTGTATCCCTTGGGTAAATTCCTAGCAGTGCTATTGCTGGGTCATAGGGGAGTTCTATTGTTAGTTTTCTGAGGAACCTCCACACTGTTTTCCAGAGGGGCTGTACCAGTTTACATCTCTGCTCTAATCTTTATGCTTATCTTTTTTGTTCTAGCTTTGGGTTTAGTTTGCTCTTCTTTTCTAACTTCTTAAGGTGTAAACTTAGGTTATTGACTTGAGATATTCTTTTCTAACATAAGCATTTACAGCTATAATTTACCTCTGAACACTGCTTTCACTATATACCATGAGTTTTGGTATGTTGGTTTTAATTTTCATTCATCACAAGGTATTTTGTCATTTCTCTTGCGATTTCTTCTTCCAAGAAGAAAGCATTAGGAAGCCTGCATGTGGATTCTTTCAGACTCCATGTGTCTCTTCTTCCCTTATGATCTGGTTATACATCCTTAGTACACCACTGTAATAAATCTTAGAGTACAACCATACACCAAGTCCCATTAGTTCTTCTAGGGACTCCCTGAAAGTGAGGGTGGTCTTGGAGTTTCCCCATAAGTTGATGAGAATTAGACTGCTTAATACGTGTAAAACATCTAGCATCTTGGCTTATGGTGAATTCTCAAAATAAGAATAGTGATGGTTATAGTGACAATGGGGATGATCAGTACAGACCCACGAACAGGATAGGTGCAAGGTCAGTCAGTCCAATTCCCATCCTATCCCTCCATCTTCTCCCACTATATATCCTCATCTAAGCCTCATAGTAAATGTATGGTCCAATGTCTTTATAATGGCATCTCATTGTTGGCAAATACCTCAAGTTTAGCTTCCTATTTGACACACCAGAATAGTAATGCCCAGAGAGATAAACAAATGTCCTGGGTCATGTTATGACAAAGCCGAAACAAGAACCCAAGTTTGCCCTTTAAGTCCTACACTGACTTCACTGTTGCCTGGTATATGTGATACAGACTAGGAGTAAAATAATTAACTTGGGGTCAGGTTGTCAAGAACCCAGCTGCAGTGAAGATGTTCCCTTCTCTTCCTAGAAAATTGGGAACCTTGAAAGCTAGGAAGGAAAGGAAGCCATAAATAAGTTCAGCCCAAAATCAAATGAGACTACTATTTGACCTAAAGGCAGAGTGAAACAATTTCTCCCCTGCATCTCCATTTCAACAGTACTGTTGTTGACTTCTGGGGGTGAGGTAGTGGGCAGGAAGTACCAGGCACTGAGGGAGCAGTCAATATCATCAAGCATTGGAACAAAGGGCAAACGAGATGCAGGGGGTAGCCAGTACAGCTGCTCTAGAGAACACCCCAAAAAGAATCCCAATATAGAAACCCCAGCAAGTAGACAGAACCCTCCAATGGGCGCACAATCGCTCAAAATTCTGGGCCATATATGGAATGTGAAGACATGAGACCAGACAGGACCAGAGACCCTCTTGAGCCCTGTCCAAAGATCTCAAACCACAGCCCACCACCCCTGCCCACCACGGAATGTGCAAATGAGGTGTGAAAGAAAGGAGCACAAAAAATGTCGAAGGACAGCAGAAACAATGCTCCTGCCAGGTTTACGGGGTAAGAACTCTCAGGAGTGAGACCGGAGCGGTGGCCACGCTAAGCGTGCTCGTTGGTGGCAGTGAAGGAGGCAGCCCGTGTTCGCACGCCTTCCCCCAGCCCCATGCCCTTACTGACCAGCTCCGCAGACGAACTGACAGCCACACAGCACCTCTCTGTGAAGCCTAGCGATCGACGGACAGAGGGCGCCTCCGCGCGGAGACCTGCCCACAACACCAGCCTAGAGACTCTGTCGCAGAGACTGCAAGGGCGGAAGTGCGTCACCATGCCTCCTGCCCTTGGGCCCGCGCCCCCTCTAGCACGCCCGGAGGCCATCTCTGCGTGTCGTTGATCCTTCCCGGGCTCTCAGTTCACCTTTGTAACTGTCCCACCCTCCGGCGGAGCTGCGGCCCTATTTGGGTACGAGAGAAGTGCCGCTGGACTCGCTCAGGGTCGCTGGCCTCCCGGCCACTCGGGAAGGTGTGAGGGCTGTCGCCTGGCTGATTTCCCTGGGGCAGGCTCGCCCCTGCCCTGGTAGAGCCGGTAATCCCTGCCCCTCCATCAGGCCGCCCTTCAGTGGCTATAGGTGGACTGAACCAGCTGGCGTGAGAGGAGTTGAGTGCAACGCGGTAGGTCAAAGCCCAAGTCGCGCTAAGCCTGCCCAGCCTGCAGGGTGCTGAAAACCACTTCCACTGAGCCCTCCAGCCACGTTGGCCTCAGAATGTGTGTGCACCCGGTTCCTTGGAATGGCGCTGCTACATACCTTGGGCAGCACACCCCCGATGCTCTCAGACCTCCACCTGTAGCACCACCACCATACAACACGCGTTGACCTGACTTTGCCTTCCTCCCTGTCTCCACTTAATTACCAATTAATCAGCGTGGCCTTCCTGACTCCCCACCCCACTTTCTGCTCTGCCCCTCTCATTTGCTACACTTAACACAATTGTAATTATATACTTCTCTGGGCAGTGATTTAATATCTTTTTTCCCTTCCTTAGGCTGGTGCTAAAGGTATTTGGATACCGCTCCATGCAGGGAGACCACCGGATGATACACTCTGCCAGCACCAAATACCTCATGGGAGATGGCTTGGAGGATCTCAACAAAACCATGCTGGACAGCCTGTCCTTGGTTTTGCAGGGGCTCACGGGCCAGAGTCTGGATGCTAATTGCTGGCGTGAAGATGGCCTCTTCCACTTCTGCTACAACGTGTTGTTCAAGGCCGGCTACCTGAGCTTATTTGGCTATACAAAGAACCAGGAGCAGGACCTGCTACAGGCAGAAGAGTTATTTGTCCAGTTCCGCAAGTTTGATCGCTTGTTCCCCAGGTTTGTTTATTCCTTACTGGGGCCCCGGGAGTGGCTGGAAGTGGGCAGACTGCAGCGTCTCTTCCACAAGACACTCTCTGTGAACCACAACCTGGAGAAGAATGGCATAAGCAACTGGATATCCCACATGCTTCAGTTTCTGAGGGAGCAGGGAACAGCCCCAGCCATGCAAGACAAATTCAACTTCATGATGCTCTGGGCCTCCCAGGGTAACACGGGGCCTACCTCCTTCTGGGCCCTTTTGTTTCTCCTAAAGCACCCAGAAGCCATGCGTGCTGTGAGGGAGGAGGCCGCCCAAGTCCTGGGGGAGGCCAAGCTGAAGGCTAGGCAATCCTTTGACTTTGAGATCAGTGCCCTACACCACACTCCAGTGCTGGACAGCGTGATGGAAGAGACACTGCGGCTTGGGGCTGCACCCACCCTCCTCAGGGTGGTGCACGGTGACCATATGCTGAAGATGGCCAGTGGACAGGAGTACTTGCTCCGTGGTGGAGACATTGTCGCTCTCTTCCCTTATCTTTCAGTGCACATGGATCCTGACATCCACCCAGAACCCACTGCCTTCAAGTACAATCGCTTCCTCAACCCCAATGGTAGTCGTAAGGTGGACTTCTACAAGGCAGGCAAGAAGATCCACCACTATACCATGCCGTGGGGCTCGGGTGTCTCCATCTGCCCTGGGAGGTTCTTGGCCATCAGTGAGATGAAGCTCTTTGTCCTGCTCATGGTCACCTACTTTGACCTGGAACTGGTGGACCCTGATATACCTGTGCCACCTGTGGACCCCCAGCGCTGGGGCTTCGGCACCACCCAGCCCAGCTATGAGGTGCGCTTCCGCTACCGCTTGCATCCTACCGAGTGAGCTCTGCCAAGGTGGCCACAAGCCTGGCCAGGGAGACCCCAAGGGAGCCTCCTCTCACCCCTCTGAAGCCGCCTCACCCTTCCCTCTGGTTCTGTGATATCTCCTGCCTGTGTCCTGCTTGCCTTCCTTGCTCTCTGGCTTTCCTCTAGCTTCCTGATAGGTTTGTCTTTTTCTCTTAAAAACATCTCTCACAGTGGGTTCTGCAGAACCTTCCTCTCATACGAAGTCCAGGGGAAGGGGGAAATATTTGAGAGAAACTTAGTTGGGGAAATAATGGCGTACCTTGACAAGTCCTGCAGTAGAGAAAGTGGTTACCATGAGTAACACAGTGTCTTACAAATGTTAACCTCCACCCTCCCACCTCACTATCTTATTTTCCTCAATGCTTATTCCACATCCTGTGGAATTCACATTCATCCAAAGAAATACAAGGCAAGCCACGTGTGTAATTTTTAATTTCTTAGTTGACATGTTTTTTAGAAGATAAAAAGAAACAGGTGAAGTTCATGTTTATAATATACTTAACTTAGCCCAATATATCAAAATATTAGCATATCAATATAAGAACATTAGTAAAATATACATATATAAGAATATTGTGAAATATTTTTACATTTCTGTGTGTGTGTGTGT